CATTCATTTTTTATGAGCATTATTGAATCTAAGATTTTTTACGACATTGGATTTTCACCTGAAAATCAATGAATTTGCATTAATAGATTTTTGATTTTTTGTTGTGCTTATACCTGATTCGAAAACAAATAACCTTAGACACTCAAAATTAGTAAATAGTAAAAAATTCCCAGTTGTTTCAATAGTGTAGGGAAAAACAATAAAAAACTATTAAAAAATAGACATTTATCCATAGATGATAACATTTTCAAAATACTTTTATTTATTTGAGCTATTTATGGGCATTTTTTCAGTTTTTTGTTTAAAATTATTGTTCATTTAACTTCATATTTTGAATACAAATAGTTCCTTATGAGTCTTAACGTTCATCTGAAAATATATTTTATGAATTATTATACAGTATCTGGAATTTAAATAAAAATACCAAAATGTTTTTAACATATATAATATAAAAAAAGCAAGTAAGTGGATGTCGCTCTGCTGTACAGTAGGTTACAAGTGGGTCACTGTATAATGGATGGAATTAAATTTGAATTCAATGATACAATATCATTGTATAAGAAAAACGATTCTGAGTGGAGACGGTATGTCAGTCTTGGTTTAAGACATATTAATACCAATATATCTGAGTCAAAATTCGAATTTTAAATGCTTATAAAAAAAAATTGTGCCTATGTATTTTAAATATTTTACAATTGCTATTGTAAAAATATATCAGGAGCCTTGTATTGAATTTTCAAGCTTTTTCGCCCAACAAATAAAATTTTATTGATATTTATAGAAAAAAAAACTAAGAAAATTGAAAATTGACAATGTCCGTAAACATCTCAAAAAGAGTCAAATTATTTTCAAAATTTTATCGTGTTTAGAAAATCCTAATATCAAGTGAAATTTTCAAGTATCTACAGCCATTCGTTTTTTAATTACAACAAAAACAGAAAATTGTTACATGAGAAATCGAGTGAATATCAAATGTTATAAAAATATGAATTTAAAACGCTCATAAAAATTTAATTTGACTTTCTTCTAAAATTTTTTTTTTTGATAAAGGTAGACAAACTTATGAGGAATCTTGTAATAAATTTTAAAATCTTAGATTTAAAAACAAAATTTTTTATGAATTTCTAACTTAAAATAATTTCCAAATTTTCGTCGTTTTTACGTATTTTGTCAATATTTAAACTTTAAATGATTATAAAAAAAAACTGTGACTAAGGATTTTTAATTTTTTTCATCTGCCTTTGAAACAATATACTAGGAGCCTTGTACTAAATTTTCAAGTTTTTTTAACCAACCAATAAAATTATATTGATATTTATAGAAAAAAAATTAAAAAAATTGAAAACTGACAATGTCCGTAAACAGTTCAAAAAGAGTCGAATTATTTTCAAAATTTTACCGTGTATAGAAAATGAAAATATAAATAACCTGTGAAAATTTCATATATCTACGGCCATTTGTTTTAGAGTTACACCAAAAACCAAAATCGATTTTGCGTAAAAATTCCCGTTTTTCCTTAATTTTTATTTTGTTTTCAACTACTGGGAAAACTACTGGGAAATTTTTACTTTTGATCCCCCAAAGTACCAACTAGATTCACTTTCCAATCAGAAAAGTTGCTGTTGAAGAAAATCGAAGCAGTTTTACTGTTCTAAAAGGTGATGACAGACACAAAAAAAAAATTTTAAAAAAAACACACATCATTGTAAAATCAATACATTCATCGTTCCACTCAGAATCTAATATACGTCGGTTTTCAGCAAATATATTCTTGAATCGAGAAAAACATCATAATCAAGGGATTTACGTAGGATATAGCGTTAAGTATTATCATTAATAACTTAATAGGTACTATATTTATTTTCGTTAATATGTATTATATTTTAGAAAAATGCTAAAATATGCATACAAATTTAAAATGGTCCAAATATGCAAAAATATGCAACATATTTTAAATTGTTTTAGTTTATTTAGGTTTAGTAAATTAGCAAATAAATGTATATTGTAACAAAAGTTGGCTAGTGTTTTTACGATTAAAAGGGAATATGTTTTCTAGTTTAATATTTATATGATACAGGATGGCTGGTGCTCATTATCCCAAGCATGCTCACACCTTTTTCCTTTCTATAATGTAGTTATTCAAAATCTGATTTTTGGAATCTTTAAATATAATTATTGACCATATTTCCAAACTCTTGTATTTTTGTAACCTGTGGTGACACAAACTTCCGTTTTTCAAATGAGAACCAATTTTTACTATAAAATTATTTAATGATGTACACAATTCTAAAATTGTATGAGTAGTTTCTTAGCTACTAAAATGATCGTACTAAATAATAAGGATAAATTAAAATATTCCTTAAAAATTGTTTTTACAAAAATATAATTGATTCCATAGTGTTAATAATAATTGGGCGATTTTTACAAATTATTAATATTGATGGATTAATATAAACGACTAAACCTGTCATATCAGATTAGGCATTAGGCATGAACTCAAGGTTAAATAACACAAAAAAAAAACTCCTTTGAATTTTTCAATTTTTATTCTAATTCGTCAACATTTTCAGAAAATTATCCACTGTACAGTTTAAACTATAAAATTCCTTTGAAATTCTTTAATTTCCCTTCTTTATTAATAAAAATTCAATATTTTATGAAAAAAAAATTTCACTTATGGTCCATAAGTATAATACAAAAACAATTTTAAAAAGTAGCTTAAAGAAAAATGTATTAAAACTCCGATAATTGTCTTGCGTAGAGAGCATAATTAAATGTCCTCACTAGTTTTTGTCTAATTTTAAATAATACATTTTAATATGTATGTATTGCCATCATAAAAATTGTATTAATTTTTTTGTTATCAAAAAATTAAAAATTACTCAAAAGAACGAGTAGGTAGTGACTGCAAATTCTCTAAGCGTGCCTCTTTACAGTCCTTGAAGCGCACTCTAGCAGGAAACGCAATAAATAGTAATTCCATTAAAAAATCTACATACAGATAGCGTAAAACATATTTTATTTAAATTCGAAAACTGTGAAATGTGTACGAAGAATATACTTCGTATATACACGTATTTACACATATAGGTTTGGTAAAAAAAAAATAGAAACTTGCTTTTTTACTAAATATTATTTTCCAAATATAATAGGTAATGTAAACCTGTTTTCTTCCATTATTTTTGTAAATTTATTGAACTTTAAGCCTCATTACAAGTATTAGCTTGCAATGGTGAGCAGCCTTTAAAAAGTATTAATTTTTTTTGCGTGTATATTTGATTGGTTGTGAAATAAACTATTATTAATATTATTATCAGTATAAGGAGTTGATTACATTTATAACCTTGCGTAAATTATAAAAAAATCATATAAATTGAAAACTCCCTAAATGGACTGAGCAATTTGCCACTCCTCTGGGAAACAGAGTATACCACTAAATACCCACTAAATATGTGCCTGTTTACATCTTAAAAGCAAATGAATTAAAAAATAAAAAATATAAAGTAGAATATCTTAAAACATTTATTTTTTAAATTATTGGTATTAAATATAATTGCTACCATTTCAAAATTCAAAGTTGATACACGGTTATTTTATAAAGAACAAAGAATATTTTTAAAATATTAATTATTTGTAGATAACATCAGTTTGAACATTTCAAAAAAAAAATTTTTAAAAATTTAAACTTTTCGAAATAACAATGTGTGTAATGTTAAAATATGGATCATCCTGTATATTTTATAACTGAATAACAACAACTGCCAAAGTTCTAAACAAGTGCGTATTGCATCAACACATTATTTACAAACACAATTCTCAAATCGTAAGAAAATAATATAAATTCTTGTAAACAAAATGTGTCTTAAACATGGCTTGGAATTTTTATGATTTTTTCGGTTTCAGTTCCATTTCGGTTCTTCTTCTTCTTCAAAAAAAAAAAACTGGTGCCGGTTTCAGTTCAGGTTCTTAAAATTACAGAATTAAAGTTTAGGTTCTGGAACTGGTAAATACGGGTATTTAGGAGAATACACTCAGTAAAACACTCAATAACACTCAGTGATATCTATCAAAAGTGGTTTTATTTAAATAATATCTTAGAATTTTGAATGATGTTACCAAGTGATCATTGATCATCGTTGTAGATGTTTATAGCAATTTTGTTTGTTTTTCAAACACTTGAGAATTGATGAGCTCTGCCTTGATATATTTTCGTAAATTCTATGTTCTTGAAAATGCATCTTCGCTTAATAGGAAGTTGTTACATAATTTTTTATTGAAAAAGATATTGAAATAAATGGTTAATACGCAATAGAATCCAATCCAAACAGCCTTTAGATCCTTTATAAACTCACTCTCTAGTTATGAATCTGTTGTTAGGTAGCAGTTTGAAGTCACTTTGAACACTTTTAATTACTGAAATTTGTATCAGAATTATGGAATACATAAAATGTTTGTGATGTCTTCTTTGAACTCAGTAATGTAAAAGCAGTCCATATTATCCAGTAATAGCTAATAAGGTCGTATTTGAACATTTTGTAACCCATAATAGGCCAATGCAACATATTCCCCAACAGTACAAAACAAAGACAAAGTTATTTCTTAAAATGTAAGGCTTAATTATTTCCATAGAAAATTGAGCCAACTAGATATAATTCATAAGTAGTTAAGCCTTTTAAAATGTTAAAACGAAGACCAAACGCAAAAATAGATTAATTTACCTTCAGAAAATTAATTCAATAAAAATAAATTAAAAACAACAAAAACTATATTATTATTTTGAAAACATTTATTAGTTTGGCGGGGTACGTTCAGTTACAAGGTTGGAGACCCCTAAAATCACTACTGCAGGGGGAGCTAGATTCACACACAAGTTTTCCTGGCACATATTGAAGTTTTTATTTCACTAGAGCCTAAACTAACTTGGTGCTGAGTTGTATTGATGGGTTTAAGAGACATTTGTTTCACAATTATTGACTTACCGATTCAATATATTGTATGTTAGCCAGTAATATATTTATTCAATTGTTAATTGTTATTGCGTCAATTGTATTATTATTATATAAAAGAACTGCAGTGTTGAGTAATATTTTCATTTTACTATCATCATTGGTCGGGTTAGTAGTTAATCGTACAAAATAAAATGTCAATATTTTTTATAACAATAATGTTAACATTATTTTTATGTTGTGCGAGTGGGCCAACCAATGATGATAGATTATGGACTGAATTAAAGGATCAATTTTAGATATCCATTAGACAATCCGTTTTAGGTAAATTAGTATTAAATACTAATTTACCTAAAACGGATTGATCCTTTAATTCAGTCCATAATTTATCATCATTGGTTGGCCCACTCGCACAACATAAAAATAATGTTAACATTATTGTTATAAAAAATATTGACATTTTATTTTGTACGAATAACCACTAACCCGACCAATGATGATAGTAAAATGAAAATATTACTCAACACTGCAGTTCTTTTATATAATAATAATACAATTGACGCAATAACAATTAACAATTGAATTATTTATTACTGGCTAACATACAATATATTGAATCGGTAAGTCAATAATTGTGAAACAAATGTTTCTTAAACCTAATAGTAAGTGTAAAATATAGTTTGATAGTTTTAATTCAACATATATTTTATTATTTATATTGTTATGTTTTATTGCCATCTCATTTTGTTTTTTTATTTTTGAGATTCCATCATTAATAAGTACATGTAATATTAAATATCAGAAGAATTCAATATTTCCTTCTAATATTGTCGATCCATGCTTTCCTACAAACGGATAAACTTTTAATTTTTTCCATCCTTATAACTTTATGGGTAAACCACTATAACATTTTGATTTTTAAATGGGAATCTATATAAAATATAATAAATTAATAATAAGACCATTTTTATATAAATTATAACTTTCAAGTTTTCATTTTTCTTTAATCCGTTGATGAAATATAGCTAATTGGTTGACACGAACACAATAGTTGAATGCTAATTGATCGTGGTCCGGTCGTAGTGTACGTTTAGCTGAGGTGATAATAGGAACAACACACTCACTTTAAAATATTATATATTAGACAAAAACAATACAATGTAGCCGAACGGTCATCATCGATGAGTTATACGTTAGACAATGTACTGTCGGTCCGACAGTAGGCTGAAAAATTGAGAGGCGACAATACTTTTCAACGCTGGTTCAAATTCTAATTACAATTTTTTACTTGAAGACTAATTAGTTTTTTTAGATAGTGGTTGTTGAATAAAAAATACTGATAAGTACTTAATATTATAAGTATTGATGTTGATAGTTTAAATTGTATAAATAACTAATTGATATGCATAAATATGTTAGTAGTTAATTGTCATCATTTAATTTATTATAATATAAATAATCCGTTGTTGATTTACCTTAAATTTAAAAACTAAATTATTTTATAACTTTGTAACAGATACATTAAGTGATGCAGGATTCGACGGTATGTAGTACTGCAAACAGATAAAAGTTAAAAAATGATTTATAAATATTAATTATTATAGCATAAAATAGTTTTGGTCGACTACTCGACTTAGCATATTTTTTTCTTTCTTATAAATACATCATACGAGTACTCGCCTTGAATCGAGTATTCTTTTTACTATTAGTAAAATTAAAAATTGAAAATATTACAAATAGTATTTTATTGAAAAGTAAATGTTAAAACTATAAATAACTAAAAGAACCCAAATTGTAGTACAATTTAAAACACCCAAGTCCCAAGCCATTGTGACATACATCATACACCTAGTTGTAGAGCCATTTTTCGAATACTTTTAATTTGTCAAGTACTCGACTTTTTCGAGTACCCGAATTTTGAACTCCACGTGACTCGAAAGAATTTAAACTCAACTTGAAATGGAAAAACAATACTCGTCCAACCCTAGATATAGTATGTACTTATCGTAGGCACAAACCGAAGTGGTTTTATTATATTGTGTAGACTCGAGTCACCACGTTCATATTAAAGTGTATACGCCATGCACCGAATTTTTTTATTATTACTTGTAAGCCATAAAGGTTTCACTTATTGCTAATTGTATTAAGTTAGTGGTGAAAATAAAAATTGAACTTCAAATCTGTAAATACCACGAATTTAATTAATGCTCAAGAGGCTTGCAAATGACCTTTTTTTGTTCAAAAAAATAACTCACGGGAAAATCTCTCCTCGTAAAACGACCTGATTTCGATAATTGTTTGAAAGAGAAACACTTCTTACAGGGCGTATTGTACTTAAATATTTCTAAACAATAAGATAGGATTTTGATCATGACCAATTTTCACAAGCTTTTGTTATTCATATTATGTTTGATTTAAGCAACACAGTATATTACTGGTATTGTGTTGGTATTCCTGTGCAGATCCAGTTATCTGATTAACTATCAGTTTTTTTGTACAAATGTTTGTTGTTTATTTTCCGGAATCTCTCACTAAAAATATATCGGAGGCCCTCATTGATTTCCACAAGTGTAACTGGTTGAGGTTATTGTTCCACGATTATTTTATGTATGGACTTGGGTGTTAGCTAATTGGTTATAAATTGTATTATAATATTATAATTTTGATAAAAGTTTCGTCTATTGAATTGGCCGTTTGTCATCTGGTTATTATCTGTGGTACAATTGTAATTCGGAAAAAAGTTTGATCTTGGATTATTTTAATAATATTAATTTGGATTATTAAACATAAGTGGTTGGTAGGGTTGATTTCTATTATAAATCGTGACACAATTTAAAAAAAAACATAATAATCTAATTGATTCATTTTTAATATAGAATGTATTACTATTTTCAACATAATATAAACACTTACCTAATAATGCGTTACTCAATAATTCTTTAGGTACAAAAAATGATTATCGTAGGACATATCAAGGCAATAATCGTAAGTACATAATAGTCTTCATGGGTACAAACGCTTTACACATAAAATATGTACAAGACTAAACAGTTAAGTAACTATTAACTAAATTACACGGAGTATTACTTTTTTTCCATGTTATGAAGTTACTTATTTCTAGTTATGAGTAAATTAATTGTACTGCTACGTTAAGTGTTATGTATTCCTATAACCACAGAGTTTAAATTAAATTTTATTAAAAAAAAAAAAAATAATCCGAAGAACCGAATATTATATATATAAATATAATAAGTGAACGCAAAAACGACGTCTTTTCCATTTCGGATACAGAACATCCCTACGCTTGAAAAAATATTAAATTTAAATACATGAAAATAGAAAGAAATGAAATTAATAACGATATAGACAATTCCTTAAATCAGTTCTGACCCCTTCTTTTTTGCAAAACATTTATGATAATAGTGATGACTAATAAATATATGTGATGAATGATGATGAATGTCGATTCCCGGCTAAGTGACGATATAAAAAAAAATATTTAATGTACATAGCCTGATGACTTAAAAAACGTACATAATATAAAAAATATGCGGCCTGTATAGGTACAAAAAAAGTAACAAAATGTATGTACTATATAACCTACTGGCTCAAAAACAATGTAATGACAATTAAAAATATGGGGCTCCTCAGCCGATTACCTGAGAGCTGGATGGATTACCCCTCCCTTCTGATTATTATCGTTTCTATAAAGCATGTTATTCGAGCTTGTCAAATTTTTAATTGACTTTTATGATTTTTTAAAACCTCCGATTCTCTTGTTAATTTTCTACTTCACAATTTATTTTATTTGCGGATCTCAAAATATTTGTTAGTTCGAGTTTCTCTTAAATTTTTTAATGCTTGTATAATTGATGTATTATCGGCTAACCTTATTAAATGAAAAGTTGGGTAATCCTTTTAATATAATATGTCTACATATTTAAATATTTCTTCTTCACTCATATTCTTATTTATTATATTACATATCCCTATATTATATAAAGTATAAACTAAAAGTTTTATATATTATGTTTCTCCTTTTTCTAGCTTAAGATTTTGAAATCTTGCCATTAGTAAATGCTAATTTCCTACCATTGCAAATTCCGTTATTCATTCATTTTTTACTTCGGTCCATGTTATATTTTCGTTTTTTAATTTTAAATGTTTAAAAAAATCTCCCCCTGAGTCATTAAGATTAATTGTAAAATAATTAATTTTTAGTTGTCCTCCCACTCGTTCCCAAATTAATTCAATTTTTTGTGTAAATTTATCCAAGTCCTCGTTTTCTTTCCCTGAGAAAATATCAACTTTGTGCATTACTTGGTTAAAGGGCAACTTTATACTTAGCTTTTTTATTTATCGTTTTCCAATTTTATTATCTTAAATTATCTTAAGTTTCTTTCTATTCACTCAAATTATTTTTTGGTTTTCTACCTTTAAATGTATAGGATCTATTGTCGACCTTACACCTATTTAGTGTCATTTTGGACCACTAAGTAAACAAATACACAAAAATTATTTTATTTTATTATGTTGGATTCCATTATTTATTTATTTATTGATATGAAACGGGACAAGCCCAATACCAGGATTGATATTAATCTTAAAACATACCTAACTGTATAAAATACAAATTAAAATATTGGACATGGTGAACATAACATAAATTATTGGTTTAGTCCTCCAATAGAAACGATGGATCTTTGTTCTCTAATCTCATCATGCGTAGTATATTACTGTTTCGCAAATAATTCACAGAACAAAAAAAAAAAAAAGGGAAGACACTACGATAGTTAAAAATCGGGATTCTAAAATTAACCCTTTATTAAAAGAACTGGCGAGTCAATTCGACCATCTATGGGTTTTCCCAAGAATGATAAGTTTATTTGAAATCTCCTAAGAACCAGTGTGGGCAAGCCCAAGTGACAAAGTACATGCCCGTCAAGTTGGCACCGGCACAATATGCTAGGAATGTAATTCTGTTATCAAATAATTGATAGGAATTTGCTAGATTTTGCTAGGCCATTTTCAGAATTTGCTAGGGTCCCATTTAAATGTAAGTCAAAATACAAATGTGCTGGTGCCAACTTGACACAGCACCGGCACATTGTCCGATTGGCTCGAGAGTGGTACCGAAATATTGCTATTGTTTCGCTAGATTTTGATAGGTCATTTTCGGAATAGCAAATTAATTTCAAATTTTTCCAAAAACCCCGAAGTCTCTAACTCAAATTGGTGGGGGGGGGGGTTACTCTGAAGTTGACCCCCCTAACACACAAGTTTTTTCTGGAAAAACTAAAGATATGCAAATTCTGAAAACGATGTAGCAAATTATAGCAAATTAATCGCAAAATCATGCAAAAGTATTGGGTCTGTAACTTGAAGTGGGGGGGGGGGCAACTTCACGTACATTAATAATTCCCAACAATGCTTATGGGAGAATGCTTAAAATTATGTACAAATACAAAAGTATGTATTACAAATTTGCTGAAACATTGTTTCCTAGGAATCTTCAAATACTGATATTATTTTTGTTTCAGGCTATAAGAATACAATGAGATGATTAGTTAGGTTTCAGGTAGAGAACAACATTTATGATTGAATTTATTTAAACATTTGTCACGATATACCTAGATACCCGCTGCAAAACGTAGGTTTGAAGAAAACTTTTTATAAATTAGGTATAATTTATAGTACGTAAACTGTTTTTAATTATCCAAGGTTGGGCATTTTTTTTGTTTTTTTATGCTCGTTAAGCTAAAATAATATTGGAAAATTGTATGTCATGTTTTAAGTTAAATGTTACCTTTATTTTTTTTTTNAACTTAAAACATGACATACAATTTTCCAATATTATTTTAGCTTAACGAGCATAAAAAAACAAAAAAAATGCCCAACCTTGGATAATTAAAAACAGTTTACGTACTATAAATTATACCTAATTTATAAAAAGTTTTCTTCAAACCTACGTTTTGCAGCGGGTATCTAGGTATATCGTGACAAATGTTTAAATAAATTCAATCATAAATGTTGTTCTCTATCTGAAACCTAACTAATCATCTCATTGTATTCTTATAGCCTGAAACAAAAATAATATCAGTATTTGAAGATTCCTAGGAAACAATGTTTCAGCAAATTTGTAATACATACTTTTGTATTTGTACATAATTTTAAGCATTCTCCCATAAGCATTGTTGGGAATTATTAATGTACGTGAAGTTGCCCCCCCCCACTTCAAGTTACAGACCCAATACTTTTGCATGATTTTGCGATTAATTTGCTATAATTTGCTACATCGTTTTCAGAATTTGCATATCTTTAGTTTTTCCAGAAAAAACTTGTGTGTTAGGGGGGTCAACTTCAGAGTAACCCCCCCCCCCACCAATTTGAGTTAGAGACTTCGGGGTTTTTGGAAAAATTTGAAATTAATTTGCTATTCCGAAAATGACCTATCAAAATCTAGCGAAACAATAGCAATATTTCGGTACCACTCTCGAGCCGATCGGACAATATGCCGGTGCTGTGTCAAGTTGGCACCAGCACATTTGTATTTTGACTTACACTTAAATGGGACCCTAGCAAATTCTGAAAATGGCCTAGCAAAATCTAGCAAATTCCAGCAATTGTTTGATAACAGAATTACAGTCCTAGCATATTGTGCCGGTGCCAACTTGACGGACATACAAAGTACTGGGTTGTAGTCATGAGGTTTACAATCAATTGATAACCGGAGAGATACACACTTCAGAAACTTGCGTTGGACTCGTTCAAGTTCATTGATTAAAGTATTAAAGTATAATAAGTACTTATCACTTACGGCAATTATTTATTATAGATACATTTACTTTACACTATAGAACTTTTATTAAATTACTATTTTATTTATTAGCTTTACAAATACTATAATTATTAATTTTATACGAAAAAAGTAACTGAATTTTCACTAAGTTTAGTTAATTTAACTTGTAATTTTACTAATATTTGTCTAAATTAGCTTAACTATTAACGGATTTAAAAGAAATAGTAAACTTGCCCAGCATTGGCCAAGTATGATAAGTTAATATTATAATAATATGTATGTTTGAGTTATTCTACAAGTATATTATACAACACAAACAAAAGTTAAATTTTATGCAAACATATATTATAGAGATATAATAAAATATAGGGACTATAGGCACTTGAAATAATCGGCACTGTTATATATATTAGGTATATATAATATTCGCACTGTACATAATAATTACAACTATAATGTAATATTAAGTTATTTAGCTATATAATATACTATCTACATATTAGGTACCTAATAATAAGTTTATCGTTATAAAATATCAAATCTGTTTTTATTTAAAAAAAAAAATGTTGGTTAATAACCTTTGTAGTGGAAGCTTGTAAACTTTAAAATAAAAAATAAAAACATAACAATGTACCTAATAGAATTTCGTTTAGTAAAAAAAATATACAATCGAATAAAAATGCACACAAAGAAGATTACAACAAATAGTTTAGATTATGATAAGAAATATTAATATACATGTCTTACTTAAGAGGACGCCCCACCCGCATGCGTTGTCTCCGTCTTACAAACGAGTAACATACCAAATTTACGCTCAGCAGTTCAAGTTTTATGCCGTTAGCTTAAAAATTAGAGTGAATATAACATTATAACCTATTATGAAACTTGATGGTAAGAACTTTATCCGTGTTTTGTTGGAAGTTTTTTTACGATACTTCAGTTTTTAAGCGAGGTATGCTTGTATAATAAATGTAAATTAAAAATGCTCATAACTCACTTAAAAACTGAATTATTGTAAAAAAACTTCCAACAAAACACAGATAAAGTTCTCACCATCAAGTTTCATAATAGGTTAATTCACTCTAATTTCTAAGCTAACGGCATACAACTTGAACTGCTGAGCGTAAATTTGGTATGTTACTCGTTTGTAAGACGGAGACAACGCATGCGGGTGTGGCGTCCTCTTAACTGTATTATCTTGTTCCAGCTGATGCACTTGATTACATTGTATTTTTAAATGCAACGAGTAAGCACATTATATCATAATTATTTAAAACAAACATAGATTATGGGTTAAGCTCAGATATTATTATACTTTTCAAATACTTTCTTTTGGAACATCATTTGTACAGTCAAGTAAAAAAATTGTTTTTTTTTCGTAGTTTGAAGGGGGGAGGGCGATAAGTGGAAAAAAAATAAAAAATATTATACATTTTTTATAATCTGTCGTCGCCTTTTGGGATAGGTAGTTAAAATGTAAGTTGTTGTTAACGGAAATTTAAAAAAAAGTAAATCCAGAGTAATTTTTGATGAGCGTTTGAATTTAAAATTTTCTCAAAATTCGTAAGAATCACTAACATTTTAAAATTATTTTGAGTAAGGAAATCATAAAATTTTTATTTTTATGTTTAAGATTTTAAAATGAAATGCATGATTCCTTATAAGTTTTTCTACCTATATGAAAAAATTTATAATTGAAAATTAAATTTTTAAGTGCTTCTGAAGTTGACATTTTTAGAATATTGGATATTCACAAGATTTTTCATGTAGCAATTTTCTAATTTTGTTGTGATTCAAAATCGAAAAACTGTAGGAACTTGAAATTTACACCATGTGTTTGTTTTATCAGCTCATAAACTTGATTAGGTTATTGATAATTTTCAAAGTATTTTAACTCATTTGAGATGTTTACGGACACTTTCAATTTTCAATTTTCTTAGTTTTTTTTCTATAAACGTCAATAAAATTGTGTTTTTCGGGTTAAAAACTTTAAAATGTAATACAAGACTTCTTATATATTCTTATAACATCACATGAAAAATATTTCAGGCATTTAAAGTTCGCCTAATGTATTAAATTATTTTGTATTTAAATATTTATAAATGTTCAATTTTTATACCTAAGGCTTAAACATTTTTAAAAAAGTTGCACACAAGTAGTCAATTCTGTAACTAAAAAATAGACAAACACAGTTTTTTTTAAAATTTATTTTATATTCAAATTTGGACGAAATTACATTTTATTAAATAATCAAGAATAATGAATGATTCAAGTTATTTTTTTGTAATTTAAAAATAATTTTCGTGGCTACTTGAAACTTTAAGAGTATACTTTTATATTTTATACATACAACAGCTTTTAAAATGTAATTTTTTGTGGCAATAATTAATTTATTCTACTGTAAATTGTAATAATAATACCTAATGTTTAATAGTAAAATAAATTACAATCACAATAATATCAATAATATTTAGTTTAAGTAGCTTAAACTTACTTTAATCAATACATCTAATAAATGAATGAACACAGTTTTTTTTTAAAGATATTTTTAAGTTCAAATTTGGCGGAAATTAAAAATTCAAATTTTAGTTATTTTGTTGTAATTTAAAAATATTTTTTTTTAGATAGGTATTTTGTATTTAAATCTTTTAAAGTATTCAATTAACTATTTTAAAATTAATTCAACCTACTGTTTAACTATAGTGACGAATAGTTTAACAAATTACTTTAATACCTATAATGTCATAAAATATACTTAGTAATAATAGCTGACATATAACAATATCTTCATTCAGAATCAGAATCATTAAATAGTCATATTAGTTGACCAACATTTTATGAGGTACCACTCCTCACCACTCCACTCTTCTATAAGCTTTAAGTACTTGAACTACACTTTTAAAATATCCCATTTTAAGTTTCAAGGTACTCCAAAAAATATTTTATTTCGGAGTATGAAATTAAAAATTAAGTTGTTACTCAAAAATGAAAAACCATAAAGAAGTTAAAACTTTTTGAAACATTGAGTTCAGGCACATCAATAGATTTCATTGTATTATACATTATCAATTGTTTCATTTTGCAGATTTTAGTTCGAGTGATTTCTGGAAGTTATATGTATGCCCAAAATACTAGACTGTATCCTGGAAAATATGCACATTGGAGAAAAGTCCCGAGCGATCAGGATGACTAGCGTAGAAATAATTATTTGTTTGATGCTTTATGATTTAAAATCCAAAGAGTAATGTTTATATTAAAATTACATAAAAATATAATCATGCCATTGTTCTAAAATGATTTTGCTTTAATAGTCTTGAAAATTGTATAACTTTAATTTATTAATATTAACCAACTGCAGGTAACTAACTATTTTGAAATGTATACAATTTAAGTCAAGTTAATTAATTAAATACTCAAAGTGAGAAGAATATTAAATTTAGAAACATTAAATGTAATTTAATACATATACATAGTAACTCTTATAATGCTTTACTCTGTACGCAGCTAATCTGATAGTTGAAACCTTTAAAACTACTTTTAAAGTTTTGCTCATACAATAAAGAGCCAGTTAGAGGAAATTGCATTTTTTTTTTGTATTATAAATACAGTTACAAGTTTTCCAATTCAGGGGTCACTAGATCCCGAATGGATGACCACCGGGTTTTTTAGTGAAAAATCCTCGCCCCGTGGTCTTAACAACCATACTATCCCTTAGTATAATAAACCTACTAAACAACCCAGGCGAACGACGTCAGGTGTTGAAACCTTAACTCGATAAAAAAATATATAGTATATATAATTTGCAATCATGAGTACAAGTCGGGGAATTGATTAAAGGCAAAGAAAAAATTTAACGTAAGCATACGGAATTAAAACACGGGAAGATTTATATTCAATCACTAGTATCCGAAACGTTAAAACCTATATAATTAACCCGTTAAATAAGGTTCAACATTATACACCACCTCAATTTTTCTGAAAACAAACATTTCGAAGATTTTAATGACTCAAATGTCTGGTTGGAATGTATATAACTCTGATTATATATGTTATGTACATGAGTTAGTGTGTGTATTAAAACAAAGACAGTACAACTGTTTAATATATACACTCCAGTACTCCATATAATAGTAATCTACTAAAACGTTAAATAGGTTGCTTTAATTTTTGAGTAAAGAAATCAGATGCGTCTCCTTGAGGCTTCAAGACGATTCAAGTTAGAATTAACTTACCAACGTAGTTAAAGCCCCCCTAAAAATATTAAACAAACAATACCGTAATTTTGTACAGTTTGCAGAATTTTTTTCATTATTTTATATTCTTATATCCACAATTATATAAGTGTACTTAGTACATTACAAACATACTATTTACCAATTTATTATTTACGGTAACATTAAGGCACAATTCACAATAATATTATACTGTGTTTATATACCTAATATTGTACATATTTTGTACTAATTGGCCATCAATATTGAATAACATATTATACCGTTCTATTTATAGATGGGAAAAATATTATTTATTTTCTAATTTTTATTAATTCTCGAGAAGCGATAGCTTTTATAGGACTATCACTATAGCTGTTGCCTGTTTAAAACCTATCGTAAAGTTTATCGTGATTGAATGAATCGTATTCGTACATTGTAATGGTGTCGTACATACTACATTCGTATTCGTACCTTTACCGTAACCGTCGTATTGACCATTTTATTCTAAATTATATTTTACTTATTGTTTGATGTTCTTGGGAATACGTTTCTTTCGAGATTGTGATTTAGATTTTTAATAAATAATTTAGTTCAAATTGGTTTGAAATATTTAAATTTAAATCTTTTATTAATTATTCTTTTTTTTATGTTTGTAATTATTTATGTTGTTATGATAACGAGTCAACGAGAACAATTTCTCATGAGTGATTTATATAAAAATTAATTTTTGGGGGGTGAGGGGCAACGCCCCCTCGAGTCTGTTTGTCATCAAATATTTGAGCCCCCCTCAATATTTCACAAGAACTCCGCCTATGTCTAGTAGTCACCTACCGAAGATATATTTATTAAGACCGATGTGCCGATATTGGTAATATTTTAATTATATAAGTTTATAATTATTCAGTCAATACCGACATACGACATACCAAAAACAGTTTAATAGTGTCAATACCCAATGGATTTCTTGGAAGTCTGTAACTACACTGTTTCTATAGCATAAATATTCCATAAGAAAAATACAGAGAATTGGTCGAATAAAATAAATTAATATAATCATCGTGGTGCGATCTAGTAGCTAATATAATAAATAGAAAATTCCATTTTCATAAAATAATACGCGAGTAGATAGCGTGGCACATCTATTCAGAGTAAAAAATGCAGTGAATATTTTATAATTATACTAATATCATGGTATATTTACGTCCTACAAGTCGAAATAAGAATATATTGGCTCTTAATGTCTTGTGTATTGGACTATTTTGACTAATTGACATTTTCAACTTTCATATTTTTTTTCTATAAACATTAATAAAAATGTTATAACTTATAAGTAATTAAGTAATACAAGGTCTTCCATAAGTTCTGAGGGGAATTAATACTGATTGTCAGAATTATTCTTCTTATTATTAATTTTATATAGTACTAAATAGAGAAATACCGCTGTCAGTTGAAGTCTGGTTGTCGGTTGGCATTATATTGTATTTTATATGGTAATTATTTATGTTACATTGTATTTTATTATTTCTCAACCTGTTGTTTGAGAAAACAATATATTACACATGAATCAGGCTTCTTTACTACAGTAGTACAGTAAATAAGGAACCCCTAGCTACATTATATTTTAATATTTATATTGTTGTCAGTGAAGCTCGCATAGTAGTTGGCCGTCATTTTGTTGATTGGCAAAACATTTTTTTCATAAAAAAAAAATGTATTACGAATAACATCGTTTTTAACAGTCAAATAAAATAATTTATGCAGAATGATTCTTGTGAAATATTTTTTTTTTCAATCAACAGGTTTAAAAACAATAAAATACAATATAACATAATCAATATTTACCATATAAAATACCATATAATGCCAACCGACAGCCAGGCTTCAACTGATAGCGGGAGTTCGCTATCTATTAAAGTGCTATAAAGAAATCTATGTCAGTCCTGTACTCCTGAAATGTCCGTGGTTTTGTATTGTTATTTGGTGTTGTACGCGGCGCCGCCGCTGCCGTAACGACCATTTTGAATTGCTACGTTCATAAACGTGGCTATGCCCGACCGCTGATCACGTTCATGAAGTTGGCCTTCCTAAGTTCTGCAATTTTAACGAAATCTATACCATTATTTTGCAAGTTATTTGCGAGTATTTGCAAGGCAATTTAGAATTTGCAAGTCCAAACTTTCGTCTTAAAACCTAACTTACGAAGTTACCCCACCCAAGTTGTCATAGAACTGGGACGTTAGCTAATGATTAACGAGAATTTGCAAGTTCTTTTTTAGAATTCGCAAGTAACCTGGACGGCCATGGCCAGTAACAAATCTTAACTGAATAAAAAGTAGCAAATTGAATAAAAAAATCTAAATTAAATAAAAAAATAAAATTTGAATTAAAAATATCTAAATTGAATAAATTGAATAAAATATTGCCAACTTGAATAAAAAACAAACCAAGTTGTAAAACAAAATCTAAATTGAATAAAAATTTTTAATTTAAATTTTGGTTTTGATGTTTGTTTATTTGTCATTAATGTAAAATAATTCTATGTTACTCATATTATTATAGAACAAAAAAGTTTGATAGATTATACCTTTAATTTATTATTATACCATTTTATAATTCTCAAGTAAAAATTATAATCTAACTATAACAAAATAACACATAATAAGTGTACATTTGTTGAAGTTAATATCATGTTTCAATTATGATTTATAGAATAGGAATAAACAGCACATTTTTTAATAAATAAGAAAACCGTTTTACATGCTATAAGATTATACACATAGTATAAATAATTTTTCATTTGTTGTAGCAATTATTATACATTTTTGTCAGCTTAGACATAGTCAGATTAATTGTTGAGAAACTATAAATAGGTATAAATCAATTTCATTAATTAACTACCTAGGTAGTAAAATAACCCATATATTTTTGCATATTCTATGAATTTTTTCAATTTAAAGACCTTATATTTTCTTTTTTTAGTGCATATGATTAAAGCGTTATTATATATGACATAAAAGTCCTAATCATGTATGATCGTAATTAACATACTATATTGCTTACCACGAAATGGCATAATAAAAATTTATTACACCTATGGCCCAAGCTATACTTATTTCAGTATTTGACAAGTGACAACCCTTTGATTGTTCCTAATTCAGCTAAAAATCAGAATGATTCATAAACGTCATAGTAAGCACTTAGCCGATATTAGTTTCGTAAATACCGTTCATGACATGTGAGGTCGTCCATCATCGACAAAATATATATTTTATATTTTACATTTATTTGTATAACTTGTTGTACTAATTATTTATTAGATAGTATCATGTTATTATTACAATCTAAAGAATACAAATTAGTAAAAACTTACAAATAAATAATACATTTTAGATTCGAAGAAGGTATTAATTTTACAGTGATATGTGTTTTTATATTTATTTTTTTTTTTTTATTGTGTCTGTCATCATGGTTTCTTGAAAACCTTGAAAATGTAATTCAAAGGTTCCTTGTAAGTTGTTGTTATTAGAAATAAAAAAAAAACGAGAGTAAATACACAATAATTTTGTATGAGCGTTTAAACTTAGAATTTTGACAATATTCGTAAAAATCACGAAAATTAGCAAATTATATTTAGTTAAAAATTCATAAAAAAATTTCTTTTTATATCTAAGAATTAAAAATTTAATACAAAATTCTTTACAAATTTGTCTACTTTTATCAAACAAAAAATGTCTACCGGAAAGTCAAATTAAATTTTTGTAAGCGTTTGAAGTTGAAAGTTTAACAACATTGGATATTCACTCGATTTATCTTGTAGTGATTTTCTTATTTTGTTGTAATTAAAAAATGAATCACTGTAGAAACTTGAAATTTACACCAAATGTTTATTACACCAAATGTTTATTTTATCAATTCATATACTTGATGAAATTTTCAAAATATTTTAGCTCATTTTAAGCTGTTGAAGGACATTTTCAATTTTTCATTTTTTTTTTCAATTTTTTTCTATACATGTCAATACAATTTTATTGGTTGGGTCAAAAAGCATGGAAATTTAATACAAGACTCTTGATAACTTGTTACAATAGCAAATTGTATTGCCCAAGCTCCCTGCGCAATTACAAGAAATGGTAACCAAAATGCTGATCAAGGACGTAGATGACAGACCGTTCGTCAAAAATGTATATTGCGCAACCCTTATTTCTAGTAAAATTCTACTTAACTTAAGATAATAAATATAATACTTATATAGTATATACTATATACTACTTATATACTAAGCTAATACTTTAAATTTAATAAAGTTTTCGGAACAGTTTTTGTAGTGTATAGGTACAGGTAGCATTACATCTTCAAATTAGTTC